TTATAATACCAGCGACAACGTGTGCCTGGTTCCATTGAGCACATTATCTGGACGGATGAGTCGACATTTACCAGAAGCGGCCTGTGGAACCGAAGAAATACACACGTGTATTCAGAGGTTAACCCGCACGCTGTTCGACAAACCGGGCACCAAACCCGATGGTCGGTTAACGTATGGGCAGGTTTATTTAATACCTCGTTTAGACTCACGCCTCGCGGCTCGCCTCGTACCTCGCCTCGCAGCTCGCGTGTTGTTGTGAGGTAACGAGTGCCTGTTTACACTCTCGCGATGCGGTCAGTTTGCGTTGAGCCAGCAACGATGAATGACGTCGAAATAATAGCGGCATCAACTCTTGCCTTAATAAGTATTTATCGATGTTTCACCATTTTAAAAAGATGGAAATTGATAAAAATACGTCGTTGAGGAAGAATATGACGGATGATATCTATTCATCGAAACAGAACCTTTTCAGTTTCATAATTTTATATAAATTGCGAGTACCTATTAAGATTAAATAATATTTTTATATTTTTTAATATTTTAATATTTTTATTATTTTATATATAGCAAGATTAAATAATATTATTTTATTAAAATTGTATTTTAAACCAAAAGCAATTCGAATGTTATTATGGAAGGGCGCCGTAAACAAACTGAAACGAGACGCGAGTGTAAACACCACGCTCGCGTCCCTCGCGAGGCCCTTTGCCTCGTGCCCAAAAAACCGCCTCCGACGCGAGCGCCGCGAGTGGCGAGGCGAGCTGCGAGGCGAGCCACGAGCTAGCGTTTACACTCGCGCCTCGTGGCTCGCCTCGCGACTCGCCTCGTCGCTCGCGCGAGAGTGTATATGGGGTATAAGGATCGCACACTGGGACCAGTGTTTCTGCCACAGCGACTGAACAGACAGCGATACTATGTCGTGAGGTTCGTCCGTGAGCGCCTCAATGAGCTATTTGATGATCGCTGGATCGGCAGACTAGGACCACACGCTTGGCCACCTCGCTCACCAGATCTGACCCCGTTAGACTTCTTTTTGGTATGTGAAAGAAAGGGTTTTTAATCGTGAGTGTGATAGTGCTGACAAAATGCGCCAAAGGATCGTGGATGCTTTCGAGAAACTATGTACGGACTGTGTCGAAGACCACACGATGATGCCCCGCCTGCACCCAAATCTACCTTGAAATGAATGGAGCACAATTTGAGCTGCATCTCATAAGACCACGGAGGATTTAGAGCGGTAAGCTGTTTCATAACTATTTTTTTTTAAATAACTTAGTGCTGAACTAATCTGAATAGGTACATAACTGAATACATGAGAATAATAAACATACCTACACGATGAATAAAAACGCATGACTCCAACCTTGGTTACATTTCATTTAAGCATTTTTTCATTAGCGTATGTAGTGGTATGGCCCGCTAGTTGCGGGCCGCGCGAATTTGCGTTCGCGAGTACATTGACCTTTAGTCAGGTGATACAATTCAGTCATTCCACTGCTGGTTTTATGTTTCAGTATTTTCATGATATTTTTTATGAAATTATCGTTTCATTTAGCTGTACTAACATGATGGCGCGTGAATAAAGCTAATAAAACGTTGTTAAAAGATGATTTTTTTTTCATCAGGATCGAATTTATTTGTGACCCATGATCAAAGGTATACTTGGTGCTGTCGCCTGTCTTAGTTTTCGGGAGCGTTCCAAAAATACCCTGTATATTATAAAATATAGTAACAATAAATTCACATATAAAAATCTCAGCTACGGGGAACTTTATTTTTGTATAAGCGGCAACACTGAATGGCTTCTTTCATATTTTGTAACTTATTTATGGCTCGTGTTATTTTATGTTGAGATTTCGAAATTGTATGATACTGACTGAGAGTATGTGATCCCAGTGTCTTTCTTATTTCTTGTAGTATTATTTTAACACAGTTTCTCTACGTAAACTGGTATTTTACTTCGGATTATGATCAAAATTTAATAAAACATTCGGTACGTCCACATCACATGTCGCCTGCAACGCGACTGGCTCGGGTACACCGATTTAGCATTTTGCAAGAGCGCCGGCGGTATCTAGTCTGAGCTCGCGAAGACCTATCAATAATCTAAGCTCATTTTCATTTTTATTACAAAAGTTTCGCTAGCAAAATTATTTTAAAACTAGCGTTTCCCAAAAAATAAAATCTAAATATAATAAATATAACACGTAAAGGTGTAATGAAGATAGAATTACAACTTTTACTCCAAAAAAGGTGACCTCTTTATAATTTTACTTACTACATTATGACACCAGCGTGTCATCATACTTATGCAATAGCAATTTTTAGCGAGAAGGTGCGCGCGATCTTTAGATCAAAAGTAAGGTAAAGTGTTACTCAGTGAGCTCTTAGCTACGTGACCTCATACGTGACGTATGCTATGGATGTATGCTATTGATCGAACAATAGCAAAAATTCATCAAAGTATCATTATTATGGCAGCTAATGACATCAGTAATAATAATGTCCTCCAGACCGAATTTCGGCCACGGCAGCTCATCTCAACGAATACCAGCTATTTGCGTAAGACAGGATGATAGTGCCCGAGTATAATTCAAGCATGGGTGCACTCTCTATTCCCTTACTCTCATAGAAAAAAATAGAATGGAATTGAATGGAATAAAATGGAATTGAATGGGTAAAATGGAATAGAATGGACTAAAGTGGAGTAGAATAGAGTAGAATCGTGAAGAATGGAGTAGAATGGAGTAGAATGGAATAGAATGGACTGGAATGAAATAGAATGGAAAAGAACGGAAAAGAATGGAATAGAATGGTATAGAATGGAATAGAATGGAATAGAAAAGAATAATTTTTAATCAATATTGATTACAAGTAATTCTTATTGAAAGTCATTTTTTTAAGTCATAGTCCGACGGGACGGTAATCCGACACGTCCGGAGACATCAGGCGCAGGACCTTCCATTTTACATGCTATCCAAAGCACAGGGGGGAAATACCGCCAACATCCTGACTCCGGACTGCTACTGAGAATTTCTTGACAAAAAAAGCCAATAACTGTATTTACCCGATCGGGTCCGCATGATTAACAACCGCGTTAACGAACACTATACCAACGAATCAGTCAAAGGAAGGCATCAGTATTACCTCTACGACGGGGCTGGCTCTGTGCTCTAATTTGTCAATATTTTGGCAGCCTAGCGTATCTTGTCCAAGATTTGGCCAATCTCAGACAATCTGCCAAATCAGCCTTGCCAGCTGTCGCATTGAATAGTCCTACGTCCATAAAATAATTTAAATGTGATGTGATGCTGTACCCAAAGTGGAGAGCAGGATTATCTGTGCAGGGGTTACGGATTTACACTCACCAACTCACCTGCCCTACATGATGAGTTAGAACAAGTTATGTTCTTGGAAAAGGATATATCCATATATATAGAATTTAAATCTCCAAATATTATCTGCAATGGTTTAGAAACAAATGTGGTTTTTATACAGTTAAGGGTGACTAACGAGCACATAGTCTGATTTGTAGTCAGTATATGCTGTGACCCATAGACACTTACGAGAACATCTATCTTTAATTGAGAATCAAAAGGTAGATTATTTGTTAGATTTCAGGCGTGACAATGCAAAAGCTGGTATGAGAAAAATTGAAATTGTTCTCGTTACCAGTTAAATCTCCTGATCTCGTCCCATACAAAACGAAACAGCAGCAAAATGGTGCTATTTCATATATACATACATATACATTTGTATTTTGTTGAAGTGACGTAATTACATGAAACGCATGGCTTACTTTAGATTGATATTATTAAAAAGCCCCGGTTATCGAGCTACGCACGGTAACAGTAACAGGAATTTTCATGCAACCTTGAGTTCAAAAGGGACGTGGCTCAAGCTAAATCGACGCGTTGGTCTGTAAATGATTTATTCCTCCCGTTTCATTCTTCATATCCCATTCTCTCTGCGAGTATAATTCGAGTTCGGGAGTCAGCAGGGTGGGCGAAAACGCGAAAGTGTTCCGAATTGTTGATAGCTTGTAGTTAACTATTTTCTTCCACAAATGGCGTAATTCTTTATAAAAAGAAGTTTGTAGTGTATTTTTTTTTACATCATTCGTGCTGACACTTTTTAAAATCTTTTTAAAACATAATTCTTGAAAAGCGTATTATTTGTTTGGAAAGCAATTCATTGCATACCTATATATAGATTTTTTCTTTTGCATACCTATAATAATGACGATAATGATGAGCCCCCCCATCATTATCGTCATTATTACAACCCTTAACAAGTCCACGACTGATCATAGTCGTCCCCCAAGGAATTCCACAAAACGCTTCAAGTCATTAAGCTAGCTTTCCACTTTACATATTGATTGACTGCAATCCAACAAAGTTTATAAGTAGAGCCATGCCGCAGCTACATTGGTAGTATAGTTGTAGTACGAATACCAGCATAAAATAGCAGCTTAACACTGCTGTGTTTCGTATGGTGAGTGTAGAGCATCGGAGACCTTTTTTAACTGGAAAAGAGGCATTCCATCTTAATCCTCACGGGTGACAACGGATCTGCATTTTGATTCTTTATTGAGTATAGATGTAGATTTCTATGGGTCACAGCAACCACTTACGATCAGATGGACTGTGTGCTCGTTTGTCACCCTATCCTATAAAAGTTGTAAGCGGTGATAAAGCCAAACTAAGCCCTTTTAAAAATGCATCAGATGGCTTAAACTTGTTGAAGGAGTTGCCTACTATACTCAGCACGTTGAGGACAGAGCAGAAACCCTTGCACTTTGGTTGGACATATTTAAATAGATTTTTCGCTGTTCGTTTTTTCCTCATAAGAGTCATGCCTATCACCTAGCAATACTACACAGTGTGAAATTGAAGAACTTCGGGTTAGTACTTAGAAAAAAATTTCACAATGATTTACATGCCCCGATAACAATAATTGAATAAAGTTAAAGTATTAATGAAAGTAGCAATCTTATCTTATCATCCCATAACGTCCCACTGCTGGGCAAAGGCCTTCCCAAACTCTTTCCACCTTTCACGGTTCTGTGTTATGGAGGACCAGTCTTCCATGAAGGAATCTAGTTCATCCCGCCATCGTTTTCTGGGTCTGCCTCGTCTGTCATTTATAGGAGTCCACCGAGTTGTTACTTTGGCCCAAAGTACTTCTGACGTACGACAGACATGACCGGCCTACTCCCATTTTGGTTAAGCGGATTTACGGAGACGTCTGCAAGAAAGTAGAGACGAAATAGCGTGTAACTTAAAAAATCTGATTTTTAAAAACATAAATGTAATTTGAAACTAGACACAGTTTTAATAAAATTATTAAATTATCCACAGAAATAACATTTTTCTTTTTGTGGTTTACGCCGAAAATATTATAATAATTCCCAGTAAACATGAAATTGTGGACACATTTTTCTTCCAAATGGCCTTTTCATACTCAATACAAGATATCAGCGAACCGAAAAAACCTACCAACAATGGTGCGTGGCGAATAAAAATAATAAATGTGCAATTCTTTAGGCAGGGCTGTAAAACTGTCGGTGGCACTCGTGCCCTTGAGTTGTTCTAACCTGCCCCGGGTTTAGAAACCCTGGCGTGTTCGCGATTGATGGCGCGTCAGGGGAGGCAAATTGTTTTAATGATATTTTTAGCCTATTTATGATTAAACCAACTGGGAATGGTCCCTGTAATTACCTGTGAGTTTAACGATTAGGACGGCTTACTGTTACTCAATGTTTGAGCGGGAAACGTTATGTAGGTCGCAAGGGTCATTGAATTTTGGCAGGGAAAGTTTAGGCGTGCATGTAATTAGTTTGGAAGTAACTTTAAAATTGCTGTAGTCTTTTTAAAACATTTCGATAATTTCTACTGAAATATGATATATAAGCCCCGTTATGTCGTTAAATAAATAAATAAAGTACATGAAGTATTTTATTTATTTATTTAACACCAACAAGTCATGCACTAATTATATAATCGTTAGAAATTACAAAACAAACATATTTATTAATTGTTCAATCATTAATTAATCAGAATTTAAAGGTAAGCTGTTATAGTGTATTATGGTACATCATAGATCAGCTGAACTGGCTAGAAATGCTATGATTTATATGGTCATTGACGGGAGCCTGATTTTTCTATAGGATAGGGTGACAAACGAGCACACAGTCCACCTGGTGGTAATTGGTTGCTGCGGCCCATAGACATCTACAACTATCCTCGATTACAAATCAAAATGCAGATGTGTTGTCACCTGTGAGGACTAAGACGAAATGCCTCATTTCCAGTAAAAAGGGTCTCCGGTTCTCTACTCTCACCATACGAAACAAGCTACTAATTCATGCTGGTATTCTGTGAGAGCGTGGTCCTTCCCCGGTCGAGCCGACACATTCGTGCTACAACTATACTACTAATATAGCTGCAGCATGTCTCTACCACGTATAAAATGATAGTGTTTACTGATAACGAGGCATGTTTCTTTTTCTTCACGGGTGACAACATCTGCATTTTGATTCTAAATCGTGGTTAGTTGTAGTTGTATTTGTATGTAGATGTCCTACGGTGTAACAACACTTTTTGGTCATTTGGCAAACTTACTTTTATATAAGAGAGACTCATACATGCCCACGTTTTCATTTTAAAACACTAGTTCCAACACGAGGGTTACGTACGACAATATATTTGAAAAACTTACCGTTACCGTTACAGCCTATCAAAAGCCCACTATAAACAAATGCCCCCCCTATAGATTGCCTTATAGGGCGATATTTGCCATAGTTGCCAAGATTAGCAGGCCGGTTGGCAACTGCAATTTATTTTTATTTTTTAGTAACTATTAGAAAGATGTTGCTGTCCATTTGTTTACTTCTCCAGTTTGTTTCCCTCTATCGCTTATTATAACAACCTAGGGGCGACTTGGGGTAGGGGATATCCTTACACAGACTCTACATGGTCAAAACTTAGTAACGTAAAATATGCGCTCTAAGAAAATATGAAAAATAACTAAGGAAGAGTGTAGCAATTAAAATATTAATTAATATATTTTATAAAAAGCTGTTCCGACAGAAGTTGTTCTGCCTTTTCCACTACGTGGCGCAACGAGTTTCACACCGAATTCAATCTGGATACAGAACAGTCTGCATACAATTCATAAATAACTTGACTACAGTGCCAATCACCTACACCAATCAGGTCCATATTTTATATATGTATACATATATTATATAGCCTTGAAAAAACAAATACATAGTGTCACTGACATCTATATATACAAGTGCGCTATATAGAGATCAGTGCATAGTGTGATTATTCAAATACGTGTAACAGATAAAATATGCAATATACTATTAGTGGGAGAAAGCAATAAAGGTTATTTCAATAATCATAATTATTGAAATCAATCAATCGGTCAAGTCGTTCAGAAATTACATGATCAATAACAGACGTACAGATATTATGTAATTGTTATGGAATTAAATTATGATCACTGATTTTATTAAAAGAAAAGGAAAATTGCTTGTGGACATTTGTTTAAAGAAACTACCGGTTTTGGATATCTAACTTTTAACTCCTGATGTTTCGAGTGCTTCACAAGGTTTTCTTCATTCCATTTTTAGATTTATTTATAGTTCATCAGTTCATTTATACATTCTTTGATGTATTTATAGCCTATCAGTCCACTGCTGACTAGGCAGTCCTCAGGCTTCCCCCATAGATTGCCTCATAGGGAAGTATATTTACTAGAGTTACCTGTCACTCTTAGCAGACGAGTTAGCCACCGAATTTTTTATTAACAAGCTGTTATTAGGATAATACTGGTGTCCACCTCCTGTTATATTTCACTCTGTTATCTCTTATGACTCCCACGAGATGGTATGGGGTAGTCATAATACTCTTTCCCCGCCAATACAGGGCGGCAATCGAAAATAGCGAAAGTAAATTGGTAATTATAATTGCATATTAAGTATGTTATTGTTTTTACAATAACATACTTAATATGTAAAATTTGGTTCTTTACGGCTTTACGGCTTTTGCCCGTATTTAGGTAAATCTTAAGTTTTTCTTTTAAATCTTAGGATTTGCCAAAATGAGTTGGTAAATGTAAGGTTCGGTATGAATTAAGACGATCTTGCGGGCTTTTACCATTAGTTACCAAGAGTTTGGTACATGCTAGAATTTACCAATGACTATTAGTAAATGTTGAGTTTGAAAATAAAAATATGTAATAAAAGTAAAAAGTATAAAACATTGAATAATGTTATCTAAAAATTTTAAAACAAATGATGAGTTTTTAAAGTACACTACTGTAAAATAAACAAATATTTAATTTCTTCTCGCAAACATAATACCTACGTTGGCTAAGCTTACTATTCATTAATCTTTTATCATCGTCATCATCATTACAGCCCTTGCTGTGCAAGTCCACTGCTGAAAATAGGCCTCCCACAAGGAATTCCACAAGGCACGGTCCTGAGCTAACTGCATCCATTGACTTCCTGTATGTCTTACCACAAAATGAGATTGACTTTATTATGACGACCAGACGACAACTGTTCAGTGATGTCTCCAAGGTGAAAACTGGTAGCGATCACCGAATGGTTAGAGGCACACTAAACCTAAACGTTAAGTTGGAGAGGTCTCGTCTAATGAAGTCAACGCTCCGTCCCCCTCGTGCTCTGTTCCAAAGTCCCGAAACCTTTCAGCTCGAGTTACAAAACCGTTTTCAGTGCCTAGAATACTGCAATAAAGTGGACGATATGAATGACAAGCTCGTGGAAACTGACCATGCGGTCGGTGCTAAGTTCTGCAAGACCCGTCGCAGAAGAACACAAAAACTCTCCGATCACACTCTCAATCTCATGGCTGTTAGACGGGAGATGAAGCTACATTCTTCAACAGATTTGACAGCATACAGGCAACTGAACAGACAGATCTCCAAATGCATGCGGCGGAACTTACGCAACTTCAATACAGCTTGTATTGAAGAAGCGATCGAGCGGAACCAAGGTTCCAAAGTCTTTGCCAGAGATCTGTCTGCCAGAAAGAGCCAACTGTTAAAGCTGAAGACCGAGTGTGGCAGCATCGTTTCCGGGCCACCTGAGATTTTGAGTGAGATTGAGAGGTTCTATGGACAGCTGTACACGTCATCGTTGGAGCCACACGCAAGTGTGAGTAACGATCCAAGAGAGAGTCTTATCCGACACTATTCCGAAGATATCCCGGACGTCAGTCTGAGCGAGATTAGAATGGCTCTCCAGCACCTTAAAAACGGGAAGGCCCCAGGCGAGGATGGAATTACAGCGGAGCTTCTGAAAGCGGGTGGAAGACCGATACTTGAAGTCCTTCAGAAGCTCTTTAATTCTGTCCTCCATGGCATTATACCGGAGGCGTGGAGCAGAAGTGCGGTGGTCTTGTTCTTCAAGAAAGGTGACAACGCTCTCTTGAAGAACTACAGACCGATTTCCCTTCTGAGCCGCGTCTACGTGCTGTTTTCGAGAGTCATTACGAATTGTTTCGCGCGCAGACTTGACGACTTCCAGCCTCCCGAACAAGCGGTTTCCGAAAGGGCTTTAGCACTACAGACCACATACATACCCTTCGGCAAATTGTACAGAAGTCCGAGGAGTACAATTTGCCACTATGTCTGGCGTATATGAACTATGAGAAAGCCTTTGATTCCGTCGAAATTTGGGCGGTGCTGCAGTCCCCTCAGCGGTGCCAAGTTGACTGTCGGTATATCGAAGTGCTGAAGTGTTTGTTCGGTAGAGCTACGATGGCTATCCGAGTACAGAACCAGAGTACGAAACCTATCCAATTGCAGAGAGGTGTAAGACAGGGTGATGTTATATCCCCGAAACTTTTCACCGCTGCATTGGAAGACGTTTTCAAGCTTCTGGACTGGAAAGGATACAGTATTAACATCAATGGCGAGTACATCACTCACCTTCGATTTGCTGACGATATAGGTAGTCCTTATGGCAGAATCGCCGGAGGACCTATGCACCATGCTCAATGACCTCAATAGTGTCTCCCAACGAATAGGTCTTAGGATGAACATGGACAACCTATGCCGGTAGTTGTTGGGAGCACTAAGCTCGAAGTTGTTGACGAGTATGTTTACCTGGAACAAATAGTCCGACTAGGTAAGTCCAACTTCGAC